AGAAGAAAGTCTGTAAACTTGTAAGGTGAACAAGCAGGTATAGAATTAGCAATCATGCACCAAAAGAAACGATGGTAGCCCAGTTGGTAGCCCAGTCGGGGTAGCTTGATGGTTGAGTGTTGATCTATGAACCAGGAGGTTACGGTTTGGTTCCCGGTCAGAGCACATGCCTGGGTTGCGGGCTCATTCCGCAGTAGGGGGTGCGCAGGAGGCAGCTGATCAATGATTCTCATCATTGATGTTTCTCTCTCTCTCTCCCTCACTCTTTCTCTCTGAAGTCAATAAAAATGTTTTTTAAAAAATAACATATATATATATTATTTTTTTTAATTTTTTTTTACAGAGAGGAAGGGAGAGAGTTGAAAACATTGATGAGAAAGTAACACTGATCAGCTCTCTCCTGCACTCCCCTTACTGGGGATGTGCCCACAACCAAGGTACATGCCCTTGACCAGAATCGAAACTGAGACACTCCAGTCCGAAGGCCAACGCTCTATCCACTGAGCCAAATCGGTTTTGACAATAAAAATATTTTTAAGAGCCCTACCGGTTTGGCTCAGTGGATAGAGCGTTGGCCTGCAGGCTGAAGGGTCCCTGGTTCAATTTTGGTCAAGGGCACGTACCTTGGTTGCGGGCACATCCCTAGTAGGGGGTGTGCAGGAGGCAGCTGGTCGATATTTCTCTCTCATTAATATTTCTAAATCTCTATCCCACTCCCTTCCTCTCTGTAAAAAATCAACTATATATATATATATATATATATATATATATATATATATATATATATTTTTTTTTTTTTTTAAATATATCTTAAGAGACAATGGAATGAATGAACAAATGAAGGAACTCTAATTCTATGAACATTCAAGAGACAACACATCTGAGTTCATACATTAAAGTGGGATAAATCTTGTGATTGATCTTGTATCACAGGAGCTTGATTTACATTTTTCAGGATTTTCTACATATACAATCATATCATGTCATCTGCAAATAAAAGCCGTTTACTTCTTCCTTCCCAATACCAAGGGTTCATTACTCAGAGTTCATTTGCGTTGTTGTGTAGTATACAAATCCCCCAAAGCAAATGCAATGCTACTTCTCTTATCTAATGGGCAGACTTTTGATCAACAGCCAGGAAAAAAAAAAAAAAAAAAAAGCCATAAAAATGCCCTAACGGAATAGACAGAGCCAGTCCCCACACCCAGGTCTCTACTCCCAAGGAGAGGAGAGGAGTTTTCCGCTTCTGGAGTTCACTCACCGAGCACTGGGAGCAAACCTGGGGCCATAAAGAGCTGGCTGGCCTCTGGGGTGCTCCCCCAGCGCGCTTCAGTTTTTCCTGGGCTACTGCTAGGAGGAAATGGAACACATCAAAGCTGTGGAAAGGTGGAGGGAAGCCACTGGGTACAGACTCACTGGCTATAGGACACAGTGACAGCGAACGGCGGGGATGGAGACGGAGCACCTCAAGCAGGAGGGCACGGCCATCTGGGAAAATTTACTGCGGAGAAAACACCCCAGAACACACCGCGTGCTCTCTGAGGGCGGCACTGCGGGGCCGCCAAGTTCAGAGAGAGGCTCATGAGGGAGAACAGGATGAAAGTTATGCCCAGGAGATGAGGAGAGGATCTGATATTATTTACCTGCTTTCCTTCCATCTCTTTCCTCTCCCCTTCTCCCCCTTATGAACAACCAATCCTGTGATAAACTTTTCCCTAAGTGAAAAATGGATAAAATACCTTTTAATAAGAACATGTCAAAGGGAGAACCTAAACCTAATGGAACAATTGCTGTGTGATGGGCAAGCAAGGGTAAATGGCCCAGTAGTTGCAGAATGAAGCACTTGGCACAGTTTATAGAGATACATTAAATAGGTGAAATTAAAATGCTTCCAGGCTAGGGGGGCAGACTTCATTTACCCAGACGGTCTGATTAGCCAATGGCATTATGAAAATTGGGTATTTATAAGATGAGCCTTAGAACTTCACATTTAGTAGTTTCTCTCTCTTTTTTTTTTTTTTTCATACTTAATTATACAGAGAAAAAGTATTTGATGACAATGAGAATGTGTTGATGGGTTGACCATGATAGTGTGTGTGTATATGTGTTGTTTTGTTTGTCAGTTTTCTAAGCTTAGAGTTGAATTTGAGAATACATATCACTGGAACAGATTTTCAGTAATTTTAAAATGTCTTTTGCCATCATTGTAGTACATTTGTGAAAACGATAGTATGGATGGTTCTAATAGGTGATAATTAGAGAGCAATTTATATTTGCTTTCAGGATGTGTGTCTAAGTGTATCTGTCTATACCTGCTTCCTTGGCATTCCCAGTGTGTTAAACAGATAATAAGGAGTACTATGTAGGTCTGGCTTGAAAAAGCTTCTAGATCCTCTTGACCTCAGGGAATTAAGAACTAAGAGAATTCAGCTTCATTCCATCCAGTAGGGTGTTTTGCGTATCTGCTGTGTTTTGATTGGAGATGTTAAGGAACAGAAAGCTTCCCTTTAGCGGCTTCAACCCAGAGGGGGGTGGCTGCATGAGGATGGAGAGCAAGAAGGCATCTGGATCTCAGGAACAAAGAGTTCCGGAAAGCCATCAGACCCCGCTCTGCCTCTCTCTGCATGGCTGCTTCATTTTTTCCACTCCTTATTCTGAAGCACTTTCTCTGACTCCTTTAGACCTTGGACAGAAATGAGCATGTGAGACATCTGCCTAACCTTGAAATCACTGTTTCCAGTTTCTGGTACAGGGAAACATGGTGGCCCAGTTCAGCTTAGGTTAAGCCTATCCTCTGTGGCAGGTGTGACAGGGTCACATCTAGAGAAGTGGCTAAAGGGAAAACGCCCCTAACAAGGTCATGTCCAGAGAGAGGAAATTACGTAGAGGTAGGCAGACGGTCTCTAAATTGTGTTTGAACGTGGTTTAGCCCAGAGATAAGCACCGTGGGAGCAAAAGACATGCTTATCTCATAGCTTCTGCCTTTACGAAGGGCACGATCTCCTGTGTACATGAAGGAGTAAAACTGAGGACTGTGATTACAGACTGAAGTGATGGCTTTGGTTCAAAGGGAGCTGGATAGCATGGGAATGCGGTGGAACTTAAAGACCTGGGCGCCAAGCTCCCCTCTGCCTCCTGCTCCTATATGTTCTTCGTGGGTCACAGATTATTCGTCCGTGGGTCTTCATCTTACTTGTAAGATGTGGATAATTATATTCCACTTAAAGGCATTTTGTAGCAATTCAATGAAGCACTTAACAATCCCATAACACGGGGAGATCCCAGGTCACAACAGTTTGTTTCAATGAAACTGTCCAGCAGCCTTGGTGGACTGCTGGACTAGATGTTGGAAACAGAATTAAGACCTCGACGCTGGTTATCCTTGAGGAAATCACAGACTGTGGTGGTGGGAAGGAAGCAGAGGAACAGATAATTTCAATAAAAGGTAGCGTTGACTATGATTCTGGGTGGGATTGATCTGTGATTGACCTGAGACACCTTTTGCAATGGTGCCAGGACATGGGCAAGGCCTTATGCAGGTAGATAGGATTTGAACAGGAACATTGCTTATCAAATGGGTTAAAAAGCCATGGCTGGTTTGGGTCAGTGGATGGAGCATTGGCCTGCAGATTGAAAGATCTCAGGTTTGATTCCTGTCAAGGGCGTGTGCCTTGGTTGCAGGCACATCCCCAGTGGGGAGTGTGCAGGAGGCGTTTGATGTTTCTCTCTCATCAATGTTTCTAACTCTCTATCCATCTCCCTTCCTCTCTGTAAAAAAATCAATAAAATATATTTTCTTTAAAAGAAAAAAAGGGTTAAAAAGACCCTTTCCAAACACTGCTGGGCTTAAATGAAGGAACTGAAGAAATGACAAATTTCAAGCAGGTTTCTACACGGAGGAGGAACCTGGAGAATCCACACTGTGGATTATGCAGTTGTAGGTAACAGGACATATTTTTCGAGCCCCAGGAAAACAAAAAATACTTAAGAACAAACATGTATGTTTGACTTAATAATAGTGTAAGTTCAGAAAATACACGCCACAGGCTAACACTAGGTAAGTTTCAAAACCACTCTTTGCTAGATTAACTGGAAGAAAAAGGAAGAAATGATACCAGTATTTGACATTTAAAAGTTGCTGTTTCAGAATACTTGTTAAAGCCAGCCAGGGTGCCTTGCCATCTCAGAACAATTTGTTCACTGAGAAATTAGAGGTGTTTGGGCCAATAAATAGAAATTTATTTTGTAGTAGTCATTTCTCTTAATGGAAGTGTTTTCCAGATGTTGCCTAAGCCTGGACGGCTGGGCCCTCTTCCAACAAATGAGGAAAGTTTGATTTCATTGGCTGTCACTGTTGATTTTGTCTAACCTTTGGACTAATTGGTTCATCCCAGTGTATCTGCCCTAATATATATAAGACTTCCCAGGACACTGGAGAAATCCATCTATCCTCTCACCGGTAAGTGTCAACGTTCACTTGCTTTATGGAATTCAATGCTTTCAACTCAGTAGAGATAAACTTTATGAAAGGTGTTTGAAATAGATGTGTAAGGCGATGGTAGTTAGGGGTTTGGGGAAAGATCCCATTTGTGTAGTACACCTGTTGGAAGCTTGTGAATGGGTATTGAGAGCGAAGGGAAATTCAGAATGGTAACTCCTATGTTTGTTAAATGAAGTTTTACTGAGGCTGGTTATTTTCCCCCCTCAAGATAGAAGTTAAGCCGTGCACTGTAAGTACCTGTTTAGATTTTAATCATATGTGCAGATAAGTTTGTATTCTATGGGGGGAATTCTAAAGAATGAAATTGTTCAGTGGCATGACTGAGATGGTGACTTGATTTCTCCTGCATAAGATTACATCCAGTGGTCAAATGATTACTAGGAAATGAAAGCTGACTATAAGTTTTGTTTTATCCCTACATCGTATTTTAAAAGTTACCGAAACGTAAGTGCAAGGGGAGATGAAAAAAGGTTTCCTGACACTTTTCTTTTCTTCTCAGCGATGGCCATGGAGTGGAAGATCCTGCCCATCCACTTACTGCTGCTGCTGCTTTCTGTTTTCTTGATTCAGCAAGTTTCCCCTCAAGGTACCTTCACCAAAAACTGTTTTATTTCACAACTATGGCTCATCATTCAGTTCTGACTCTGAGGCCAAAAACAGAAATAGATGTCTAAACGTGCACATTTGTTTAAGTTCAATGCAGAGTACAACCTTAGTATGTAAAAACATGCACCTTTTATGAGCATTTTGGAATTTTCACTCTTTGTCTCCTGCATTATAGAATCTTTCAAGAAGTTTTGAGCTTTCCTATAGAATAATGTTAGTATTCGTTATTCCCAGGGTTATCTCAAAAGTTAAAAAAAAATGCCTATGCAGATGTCTCTGGGATGATACAATATTATTTGATTAACTGATCAGATCAGTATTTAAATAGCATATAATTTTACCTAAATGTTTACAAGGAAATTAATCTCTTACATCAAATAAAGTATTGATAAAGCACTTACTTCAGTGGACATCTGCAGTGTTTGAAATGGCATTTTATTAATCTTGAAAATAATTAATAAAATCCTCTTTCTTATATAAGGACTGTTCAACCAGATATGGAATTACACAGATGTGAATGCCATTTGATATTAGGTGCATGATTGTTATGGTGAAATTACATTCATGACATAGACATTTCCAGTAAAATAATTAAAATTCTCATGAACCTGAGCAAGAAAGGTAACTGCCCGCTATGGGCCTAGTTTCAGAATCGCTGAGATAAGAAAAGATGGGAAAATGCATGAAATCATATGTAAGCATTTCAGAAGGAATGATGACAGCTCTGGTATCTCCAGACCCTGCTGCTCTTTCATGATAAATTACAAGGCTCACAGCACTGGGTGTGTGTTTCTAACCCACCTTTCCTTGGTGATAGTCGATTGTTCACTAAAACGGGTTACTCCCCTTTAAGTAAATGAATTTAAAACTAGTTCTTAAAATGAAGAGCAAGAGAAGTTCAGACATGTAATCTGTGAAAAGGAACCTTTCCTATAAAGACATTGATTTTCTATTTCAGAAATCTGCTAATGGTAAATAACATTTTGATGTTGCAATTGCTTTTCTTGCCTTCTCAACCTCTTCCCATTCCCTTTTTTTCTTTATATATAATATATGTATTTATATACATACACTATATATGCATTTCTGTGTGTATTGTGTGCATATGTATGCAAACATTTCTGAAAGTTTTCCTAATATTTACTGTTTAAATTGCATATGAAGACCTTCACACTCTTGGACTCATCATTTTGAGATTATTTTTTCCCCCAGTGTGTTTCAAAAGTCCCTCTATGGATTTAGGACATTGCACTTGCCAATTTCTATTCCAGAGATGGGTTCAGTTGTTGTTTTTCTATGATTATCTTTTCAGGGAGGATTTCAAGGTATTTTCCAAATGATTTTGAAACTACATTGGAGGATAATTAAGCTTCTGGGGTTTTTTTTTGTTGTTGTTTTAAACATTCTGTTTATGACTTTTATATTCATGTCCATGTGTTATTTCAATAGTTATTCATTTTGCAGTCATTTTAGCAGTGGTTGTAAACATCTGACTTCCCTGACATTTAGACCCAGGTCCCCCCACCAATAAAACAGAAAGGACACGTAGGAGAGTTTATGCGAGTATAGCCAGCTTTATTTAAGCTCATCAAGAACGACAGGCCCTGTGATTGTTGAGAAAGTTTGGGTTTTAGAATCAGATCTATTAGAGTTCAAATTCTAAATGGGCTATTGACTTAAGATCTATACTAATAAAAGTGTAACATGCTAATTAGACTGGACACCCAAACGAACTTCTGGACGTCCTTCCTGACGAAGCTGCAGCGGCGGGGGCTGAGGCAGAGGTGGTTAGTGGCAATCAGACAGGCAGGTGAGCAGTTAGGAGTGATCAGGCAGGCAGGTAGAGGGATTAGGGGTGTGCAGACAGACAAGCAGTCAGGGCGAACAGGCAGGCAGGTGAGTCTTTAGGAGCAATGAGGCAGGCAGGCAGAATGGTTAGGGGCCATCAGGCAGGCAGGCAGAGTGGTTGGGGTGTTCGGGTGGGTAGGCAGGTAAGCAGTTAGGAGCCAGTAGTCCCAGATTGTGAGATATCCCCCGAGGAGTCCCGGATTATGAGAGGGTGCAGGCAGATTTCATGCACTGGGATTCTAGTAACTATATACTTTAGGGCCAAATCAGGACACTTCTGAGAGTGAGAGGTCAATATGAATAATTAGCAGGTGTTCATGGACCTGTAATACATGTATGCTGGACCTATTCAATGGCTGGGTGCCCTGAAGCAAATTAGTAAAATTTCAGCCTTTCAGCTTCCTTATCTCGAAAGAGAAGCTACTCAGAGTCTCGGCAACATTTTCAAAAGCATTAGAGATAACATATGACTCAGTACCCAGCACCGAGAGGCTCTGATGATGGCAACAAGCCATCATCTTAGCACCGTCAGGAGAGCTGTCGCTGCCACCCCCCTCCCAGGAATGTACAAAGCTCTTACTTTGATTTTCAAGAGTGTATCTTCTCAGTCTAGGAAAGAATAAAGTGGGTCTTATAAAAGATCAGGCAAAGGGTCTTATAAAAGATCAGGCAAAGATCACCTGGCCCTATGGCTAATTATCGTTCCCATCCTTTTCCAATGGACACAATTCTCTCCCCCAATGGCTTTGTCCTCCTCACGAGACCTCTCCCTTTCTGTAAGCGGTTTGGCCATGTTTACCTATATTGTATGATTTTAGATTTATCAAGCTGTGCAGGGAGATGTGGGGAAGGGTATTCTAGAGATACCCCCTGCAACTGTGATTATAACTGTCAACTCTACATGGAGTGCTGCCCTGATTTCAAGAAGTTCTGCACTGTGGGTAAGTGCCAAGCGCTGGCATCTCCCCTGTCAAGCATCGCTGTTCTTGAGTCCCTTGCTGTGCTCTGTTCACACTCCTGCGCTTCTTGTGGCTCAAGTGCCTTTCCCTTCCCTTGCATAAATGTTGCAGCGTGCTGTCCCTAAGGGTGGTGTCAAGACTTGTCACTACTCGGGGAAGTGAAGGGGGTCCTGGAGGTCTGTCCTTGCACAAGGTTTCTGATAAGTGCCAAATACAATGTCTTGTCTTCAATAGAGACTTAACACTGTGACTCTGGAATCATTAAGTAAAAAGTAATGAGACGTCATAGCTTAGGGAGGAGGCCCTTCAGAAGTTTCACCAGAAGAATCTATGGTCCTAAAATCTTGTCTACTACTTGACTTAAAAAAAAAAAAATACTGACGTTTCTAAATTACCTAAAAATGGCACTTTTCATGATGAAGCATCAGTGTTTAATGATGACTTTCAAATGAAAACCCAAAAGGTTTGAATTTTCGATGAATGGTAGGTAATATTTCACTTGAATATATTTTGGGCCATTTTATTAACACAGAGACATGTCATATTTAATTTATAAAAATTAAAATTGTTATATTTGCTTTTAGAATTTGCATGTGAAGCTCATAAATATATTCTTGTACAATGTGTGTGTGTGTGTGTGTGTGTGTGTGTGTGTGTGTTGTTTAAGGTAATTATTTCAAATAGGCCTCGGAGTCATTGACTAACCAAGGCTTTTTTTTTGAAATATGCAAGCCTTGTCTTCACAGTCCATGCCATGGATTAGGTTGTCTTTCACCTCTACTCCTTACCCAGTTTGTCATAATAAAGGTCTCTGCATTATAAGCAGACCTTTAGTTTTGAGCTGAAACATTGACCCATTTGGAATATATTGAAGGGTCATTTACTATTGAAACAGTTCTCATTTCCTGTTGTCCATACATGGATATGACTTGGGTAGCACTGGGACCTCGAAGGGCATAAAAAGTTTCCCTACGTCCCCATTACTTCTTCCTTGACGTGGGCTGTCTCCACTTGGGAACCCATCCCTTTTCCTAAACGAAGGACTTAAGAAATGCTCTTTGGGGGCTCTAGTGGGCCAGAGAGAAGGTGGGAAAGGGGCCTCCTTCATGGGTGTGGCTGTGTCGTCCTCACTAATCCTAATGCGCAGTGTTTTGTTTTGCTCTGCATAGAGCTCTCCTGTAAAGGTCGCTGCTCCGAAACCTTTGAACGAGGGAGGGAGTGTGACTGTGACGACCAGTGTAAGAAGTATGGCAAGTGCTGTTCCGATTTCGACGATTTCTGTGAAGGTAAGCATCGGCCCCCATGGGCGCTTCTGGGTGCAGCCAGAGCTGTGCACCCACCTTAGCTTCACTGATGTCTATCTAACACGCAGTTCGTCCCTCTAAGGTGCTGATCTCACTAACATTTAAGTTACTTCATTCTAATTTTGTTTCACTTGAGATGAGCTGAGGGCTGGCTGGCCGCCTCCTCCCACAGCACGCCCTGGCTCGGCCAGGCTCCAGGGGCGCAGGCTGAGTGACAGAGGGAGGCCTGAGTGTAAATGCTTTTCTCTGTAGGTGTGGTTCAGTTCCAGGTTAAAGCAACAGTAACCAGCTCCCTGGAGGATTTCTCCTCACCTGAATGGTCAGCTGTCCTTTGAACTACCTGTGCTTTACAAAGTTATGTTTTTCAGTGTGTATTTAAAGGGAGAATCCACACGTTCTAGCTTTTCTGAACTAGTACATTTGTGAATTAGTGTAAGGCGCTAAATTTACAAGCAAACCTACCGAGAATTTGTTAACTGTGCATCGTATGTCTCTTCCCATCTTGACAGTCCCTCTCTCTCCAAGTCCTGTGCCTGAGAGTCAATAACAAAGGATTGTCCCACCTTAAAATCTTCTCTGGTTATGGGTCTGGAAGACGTGCTCTGAGAGGGGAGTAAAACCATCTAAATTTTACCAACCTCCTCTCCCCCGCCCAAGATTGAAAAATAATTCTTTTACCAAATGTTTGTTCTTAAAGCTTTCTTTGCAAAAACAAGACAATTTGTGGAAGAAAGTGTAGATCAGCTTTGCTTGCATAACCCGACCGTTCTATTTAGACAAAGCTGCAGGCCTGCTCCTTTCCAGCAGCGCAGGGAGGACAGGCAGCTGAGCTGAGGGGCCTTTCTTCACGGTTCCGTGTTTTCGTTGGAAAGCATTCCAGGAATATCGGAGAGGACAGCCTTGTAATGGAAAACTCGGAGCAGAGTCCCTGCGGCTTTCAGAAGGACACGTGTGGGCAGGACATGTTTACTCACCGCCCTGAGAACCGTGCTGGCCGTGAGACAGAACACTAAGAATGCATCTTGGGCAGAGGCTGGGTGGGGAGTGAGGACAGTTAGAGAGTGAGGAAGCATGGAGAGAACCTGCTAATATAAAAGATAATGCCTTAGGTGGATCAGATTTCATGAGGTTTGTGGAAAACACAAATAAAGGAACACCCCCAGAGCTTCATTACTTCATTTTTAAAGAATAGCAACCAATTTATCCTGTTCACTCAGCCTTCAGTTGTTTCAAGATTGCTGGGCACTGCTTGTAGGCATCTATATTTCAGTGATCCCATTTCTAGAACTGAAGGAATCGGCAGTCGAGCTACGAATGTGGGTGAGAAAAGCCAAGAGGTTAAGTGTGTGGCTGAAGATCACTAGTTAGTGCGTTTCTAGTTTCTCAAATTGAGGTACTTGTCGCGTTTGTAGGGGGAGACAGGGAGAGAGGTGCGGTGGTCAGTTCATGGAGACTGCAGCCAGAGAGTTGAGATGTTTTTTAATAGCAAGATGCGGGTTTATGGCAACCCTCCGCTGCGCCGCCCCCCCCCCCCCCCCCCCCAGCGTCCCCACTATTCTCTGCTTCCCACTCTCTCACAGGCCTCTCTCCTCTTCTTCTGATTCCTAGTGATCAAAACATGTCCCCTCTTCTGGACATGAAAAGAGGTGGGAGGAGGGGTGACAAAAGTTTAAAAGAAACACCTCAAACCATGAACAGCTGTTTGACTAGTTTTGAGAAAAGCATCATGGGAAGCTGTGGAAGTTCTTACAAAAGTAAATATTCATTTAGAACTTTTGTAATTGGACACATAACTGAAAGGTAAATTGGCATCATTACTTGTAAAAGAACATGGAAACAACAACAAAATGAAATTACTCTATTTCTCATCCACGTGGAATAATTATTTTCACCACAGAAGGCAGACAAAAGGGATGGAGTTTATAAACTCAAGCACTTTTTAGATAAATACCCCCAGAAATCATCTAGAATAAGTATGTTTGCAAACAAAAAAATGAAGTTCAAAAGGAATTTGCTCTTGTCCGAAGGTCTCAATGACAGACAAATTCCAGTCCTAGTCCTGCAAGGCTGAGTCCTGGGCCTTTGCTGCCTGTCATAACACGAGGACCAATATTTTACAGAATTAATTGGTTTGGAGTAGTTTTTACCAGCATCTATTTTTTCTTTTTTTTATGTTTTTCATTGATTCCAGAGAGGAAGTGAGAGGGAGAGAGGATAGGAACATCAATGATGAGAATCACTGATGGGCTGCTTCCTGTACCACCTCCTACTGGGAACTGAGCCTGAAACCTGGGCAAGTGCCCTGACTGGGAATGGAGGCATGACCTCCTGGTTCATGGGATGCTCAACCACTGAGCACGCCGGCTGGGCAAACCAGCATCTAATCTTGAAGACAGATGCATCCCTGGCTTTCACAGTTAGTTACTGATGAGTATAAACAGGTGTTAACCAACCTATCTTGCTTGGCCTCAGTGGATAGCCCCACACCACCACCATCTTCAAGGGCTGCACCTCCACCTGCAAGAGCACGTCCACCCATCAAATCAACCACCAAACGTTCACCCAAATCAACAGATAAGAAGACGACTAAGAAAGTTATAGAATCAGAGGAAATAACAGAAGGTAGGAAGATGACAGAAGTTTGAGATGAAATAACCTATAGGTGACTGACTCCTTGTAGAAGAGGATAATCTTGAGTCATTAAAGGCTCATTATGCTTTCTGTTTACTTAAAAGTATAAACACTCAGATATTTATTTTCCTTATTTACTGAACCTAGTATGGATTTAAGTTAAAATAATCAGAGGAAATAAGTCTTTATTTTTTTTTTTTAGATAAGATTTTGTAGTTTATACTAGAGGCCTGGTGCATGGATTTGTGCACCGGTAGGGTCCCTCAACCTGGCCTGTACCCTCTGGCAATTCGGGACCCTTTGGGGGATATCAGAGAGCCAGTTTCAGTCCGATCCCCGCAAACCAGGCTGAGAGACACCACTGGTACATGATCGGGAGTGGGGAGGGATTGTGGGAGGACTCCAGGAAATGTCCAGCCCATCTCCTTCAGTCCCAATTGGCTGGACCCCAGCAGCAAGCTAACCTACTGGTTGGAGTATCTACCCCCTGGTGGACAGTGTGCATCATAGTGACTGGTCAAACGGTTGAACCGTTGGACACTTAGCATATTGGCCTTTTATTATATAGGATTGCTAGTATCTGTGATAAGCTCAGGTATCTTTTAAATGACAATTAATTAGAAGGGCAGTTGATTGTGCTACTGACAAAACAAAATTAGAACACAGATATTTATCGATTAGTAAATAGCATTTCTTGTTGTGTTTGGACTGGCGGTTCTTTCTTGACTTAAATCACAATTGGTGTGATCACCTTTTTATTTGATTTATAGAACATTCTGTTTCTGAAAATCAAGAGTCTTCTTCCTCTTCTTCCTCTTCCTCTTCAAGTATTCGGAAAATCAAGTCTTCCAAAAATTCAGCTGCTAATAAAGAATTAAAGAAGAAACCCAAAGGTTTGAGCATTGATAAAGATCAAAGACTATATCAATGCCATAATTATCTAACGTAATGCGTGTTGATAGAGTGATTTGAAGATATTTTAATATTTGGGGAGGGAAGTGTATAACTTTATAAAAGCTATTTTAGAAAATACCAATGCAAACGTCCTTTAGGAAATTAGTGACAAGCAGCTCAGAAAACAACCAAATAAAAGGATAAAATGCTCTAGCAGAAACTGTGAAACCACAGGATGGCGCCAAAGATGATGGTGGTTTTCTATTTCAGTTCCTTTTTTCATTTTTCTTCCTTCTTTCTCTTCCTTTTTTCATTTTTCCTTCTCCAGATTTTTTATTTTACTTAACAAGCACTTATATACTGCTTTAAAATGCTAATTTACTAAATTCTCCTACACCTCTCTGGGAAACTCAGTATTATTCTCCAGTTCACAAATCCTCTTTTACTGTTTTCCTAATAAATCTAAATGTCTTATCTGGCTGATTTTTCTGTAGTAGAAAATGTACTACAGAGTAGGCCAATGGTCGGCAAACTCAGTGAACAGAGCCAAATTCTTTAAACTTATAACGCTACTTCTTCAAAATAGATTCGCCCAGGACACGGTATTTTGTGGAAGAGCCACACTCAAGGGGCCAAAGAGCCGCATGTGGCTCTGGAGCCGCAGTTTGCCAACCACGGGAGTAGGCTATTCCCTCCTGAAGAGGTTCCCTTTGTTCTGATTTTTATTTCCTGAAATTCTAAACTATATTCTCTTTCCCCAGGAAGTCCTGGATTTTGGATACTGGAGTTCTAAGGAACTATTTCCTGGGTGGTTGTGATTTCCCCTGAAGCCTTCTCTCTAGATTAATAGCCAGATATTCAATCTTTTGAGTCATCCAGAGATTCCTGCACCTGATGGAAGTGCAATATGTTTGCTGAATGAACTCATCTCATGATGTGCCCCTGGGCTCTGTAGTTTACCCGTGGGGTAGTTGCTATGGCAATCCTGTTAAAGGGGTCTTTAGCTGCCATAGCATCCTAATATCCTTTCTATACCTGTGGGACTGGGCAGAAGAAAGAGAAGAGCTAACAGCCCTGGGCGTGGAAATGACTCAGCAGGGTCGAGGCGGGGTGACTGGAACATCCTTGGATATAGCTGTAGAGACCTCTCAGCTAATGGATGCAGTCAATCTACATGATTTTGGAACTAGGTTTCCAGGAGAAAGGGACACTGAGCAACGAGGAAAAAGAGGAGCAGAGAAAGGGAAGGCCAAAGAGCTTTAATGTAAAGAGATGAATTAGTGTTATTTGACCATATGGGTAATTTCAAATTTGTCATGTCTCTACTGTATAGTTTTACTTGTGCATTTTACCCCTTATCTCATTCATTCCCTAAAACAGCCCAATAAGACAGGTTGAGTATTTAACATTTTATAATAAGTTAATAGACATATTAGAGGTTAGCAACCTGCCTAGTCACACAGTCAGCAATAAGAATGGGAGCTTTACATCATTACTGAAGACAAACTATTCAAGAATAAAAGATGTATTTTTTTTTTTTCCTCTAGTAAAAGATAACAAGAAAGAAAATCCTAAGAAGAAACCTGCCCCAGAACCACCAGCTGTAGATGAAGCTGGAAGTGGATCGGACGATGACGATTCCAAGCTCACCCCAACTCCTGACACACCCCCCACTCAAAGCACTAAAGTTACCACCACAACTTCCAAGGTCACAACAGTGACAACAGTAAGTCCTAAACCCAGCCCGTCACCGAAACCTGAAGCACCCAAAGACACATCTTCAACAGCAAGTAAGGAGAAAAAGGTTGAAACTAAAGAGACTTCTAAAACATCAAAAGAGACTTCAGCTAGAACATCGGAGAAGACGACCTCAGGTAAAGAGACGAGAAGTGCAGAAAAGACATCTGAAGTTTTGGAAGCCACGTCAGTTTCTGCTAAAACTACAACTGAAGCTGAAACTACAACCACAACCACATCTCCTTCTCCCACCACGACCACCACCACCACCACGACCACCACCACCAAGGAACCTACAACCACCCCCAAAAAGCCCGAGCCCACCACCCCCAAAAAGCCTGAGCCCACCACCCCCAAAAAGCCCGAGCCCACCACCCCCAAAAAGCCCGAGCCCACCCCCCCCAAGGAGCCCGAGCCCACCACCCCCAAGGAGCCCGAGCCCACCACCCCCAAGGAGCCCGAGCCCACCACCCCCAAGGAGCCCGAGCCCACCACCCCCAAGGAGCCCGAGCCCACCACCCCCAAGGAGCCAGAGCCCACCACCCCCAAGGAGCCCGAGCCCACCACCCCCAAGGAGCCCGAGCCCACCACCCCCAAGGAGCCCGAGCCCACCACCCCCAAGGAGCCTCCCACTCCTCCTGAGAACCCTGCTGAATCAGCTCCCGAGTTTCCTGAAGAACCCACACCAAAGGCTCCTGAAAACAGTCCCGAGGAGCCTGCTCTACCTACAACCAAGGCTCCTGAAGGGACCAAACCTGAAACGACCACCACATCAAAGGATAAGACAACAGAAAAAGGCACGCACACTACAACTGAAATTACAACTGCCACATCTACAACAAAAGAGACAGTAACTCCAGCAGAAGAAAAGACCACTGAATCCAAAACAAGTACAACCAAACAGGTGACATCTACCACAACCAAGGACACCACATCAGCCAAAGTTACTCCTCCGGAAACGACTCCTGCACCTGAAGTGACTCCAGCAGAAGAAAAGACCACTGAATCCAAAACAAGTACAACCAAGCAGGTGACATCTACCACAACCAAAGATACCACACCAGCCAAAGTTACTCCTAAGGAAACCACTCCTGCAACAAAAAAGACAACTACAACGGAAGAGACTACAAATACATCTGAAGACATAGTAGCTACATCCAAAGATACAGCTACTAATCCAAAGCCTACCAAAGCATCCCAAATGCCCACCACCACCAAAAAGCCAAGCACAACACCTAAAGTGACAAAGCCAAAACCTACACCATCTCCCCCAAAGATGACCACATCAACGGTACCTACAGTGAACCCTGCCTTGCTCCAAACTACCACCAGCTCTAACCAACCTAGTAACTCAGAAATGGCTGAAGAAAATCCAAAGAATGAAGATGCAGATGTTGCAAATGATGCTGGAGGAGAAAAACCTTATGTGTTTCTCAGGCCCCCAGTGCTAACTCCTCTACTTATCCCAGGAGCTGCCTCAAGAGTGGGAGGACCTGAACAAGGCACTGGCAACGACCCCATGCTTTCAGGTAAAGAGACTCGTTTTTTAATAGTTTCTAATGTTAACATGTGTCTATCAGAACTGTAATGCCCTGTTTTAATATATAAATTATCTAGAATCCTGAACTTAATTTGTGAAGTCTTACAGCTTCTCTTAGAAGCAGAGGCGTAATCACAGTAAGATGATTTGTATTTGGAAAAAGGAGTAATGACCTAGTTTTAGGGACTTAGTGCATCTGTAGGCAGAGCCAGTGTACAGAATAGCAAACATATGTAGTTGGCAGTCCACCCTTGCATGGGATGATGCTCCAATCCACTGAGCCACACTAGTCAAGGCTATCACTTATTTTTACATACTTTTTGAATAGTATCACCTTTAGTTTTAGTAAAAACAATTATGAAATATCACTTCTTTCACCTGTGAAATCCACACATTTCAAACAATACCCTTCAAGAGCTTAAGAAATGAAGAGGAAATAAAACTGGGATAATTTGAAAAAACTACTAAAACAACACTTTTTCATTTTGTTTTGTATGATTTTATTTCAGATGAAACCAATTTATGCAATGGTAGATCGGTAGATGGACTGACGACTCTGGCCAATGGAACATTAGTTGCATTTCGAGGTGAGCTCTGCACAAACCTTTTTCTGCCCCTCATTTTGCTCTTGGCATATAAGAGAACCAAAGCCATAGGAGTCAGTAGTTTGGGTTGAGGTTTCTGAAGGGGAACCTGACTAATGACTTTACCTCATGAAATACACTGAATGGCCAGATTATTATGATCTCTGAATGCATAATAATTTGGCCACTCTGTGTGTGCATGTGTGTATATTAGAGGTCCGGTACTAGCCTGGCCAGGGGGAGGGGACATGGATGGTTGGCCGGCCTGCCTGCTGGTCGAACTCCTGGTTGAGGCGACAATTTGCATATTAGCCTTTTATATATGTATACAATGAGTAGCCAGATTATGATCTCTGAACACATAATAATCTGGCCACTCAGTGTATATGAAAACCTGATAGTAATTACCAAAATATTAATAAAATTAGACATTGGAGTAACAAAAGCGTGAAATGATGCTAATTGTTCCTACTGTTATGAAATTAAAATTTGAACTACCTTTTAATTCCTATTTCCTATCAGATGAAATGACACTAGGATTTGTTTTCCTTGTTCTATTGTATCTGAAAATAATATTCCCCCCTCTCCATTGATTTTTCAAGAGTGGAAGGGAAGGAAGGTAGGGAAGAGCTAAAAACAACATGGATGTGAGTGAAACACATTGGCTGCTTCCCACTCAGGCCCTGACCTAGGTACATGCCCTTGACCTGGAACTGAACTTGAGATCCTTTGGTACAAGGGTCAGTGCTCTAGCCACTGACACTACCAGCCAGGGCGAACATTATAACACCTTGATTGTGATGTTTTCAGCAGTGTTAATTACCCTTTGTGGAGGAATCCCAGAACAGCAATTGTATGTTAATTCTCTGTACTGATACTAGTCCAGTCTTCACTTACTTAGATTAAATCTGAAGGGAAGTAAGTCATACATAGACTTGCTCAGTAGAGGAAGAGATTTTAGTACGCCTTTAATTATAATTCCTTGTTTCTGAAAAATAAATTGAGAGAAAAGTGATTTTCTGTAAGTCACAAAATCAAAGGCTCTTTCAAGAGAAACTGAAAAACTAAAATATGTCAAATTTCAGACTTGAGATTTACTCTCAAAAATGTTCAAACACTATGTTCTGTGCTAGTACAGTCCTCACTAAACTTCTGGTCATAGAATGCTAGTTAACACATCCAATGGTTCAGGATAATTAAAAATGTTTTCATTTTGGTCTCTTTTGGGATAAGTTTTAGTATTCATTCAGGCTGATTTATCACTTTCAATTTTAGGTCATTACTTTTGGATGTTAAATCCACTCAGTCCACCATCTCCTCCTCGTAGAATTACTGAAGTCTGGGGTATTCCCTCTCCCATCGATACTGTTTTTACTAGGTGCAACTGTGAAGGAAAAACTTTCTTCTTTAAGGTAAGAAAAATACCTTTGTTAAGAAAAATACCTTTGTAAGAGAAATCAGCAAATCTTTGTTTATGAAAACATAAGTCAGCTTAAATTCCACTTCAGAAGGGTTCCATATTTTAATAAATTACCATCAAAATTTAATCAAAGGTTAACACAATTTGGTAACATTAATGGTCAACTTATTCAAATACCTAAATTAAAACTTTCTAGCTAAATTAAAACTTTCTCCCTACACTTAAAAATCTAAGAATGAATTTATAACCTTTTTTCTCCCCCAAACTGTTAACATCACTTCCTCTTTTAAATGATCAGGATTCTCAGTATTGGCGTTTCACCAATGATGTAAAAGATCCTGGGTATCCCAAACAGATTGTAAAAGGATTTGGAGGACTAAATGGAAAAATACTGGGAGCTCTTTCAATACCTAAATATAAGGAGAGACCTGAATCTGTGTATTTTTTCAAGAGAGGTATGTGCTACATAATTGACAAAATTACGTAACTTTTAACAGTTGATTTGCCAGAAAAGTTTTATTGAATATTTTCATTTACTACTGTGTTTACTGTCAAAAGATGTCTTTAATAGCTGGATCAAATAAGTTCAATTAAAAAATTAAGGGCACTGAGAAACATTTAGATTTCTCAACATGCAAATAGAATCATTTACTCTCACACAAAGTTAAATACATAGCTATGCAATCTATGGATTTAATCATTCAAGTATTTCAGGATTTAGTAATTATTTTCTTTTAAAAAATGTATTTTATTGATTTCTTACAGAGAGGAGGAGAGAGAGATAGAGAGAAACATCGATGAGACAGAATCATCGATCAGCTGCCTCCTGCACACCTTCTACTGGGGATGTGCCTGCAACCAAGGTACATGCTGTTGACCGGAATCGAACCCGGGACCTTTCACAGTCCGCAAGGTGTCGACGCTCTATCCACAGAGACAAACTGGTTTCGGCTAGTAATTATAACACCCTTGACTAATAGACATTATGAAAAACACTGTTTCTTCCACCTTGTAAAAGCTTTCTTTTTGGGGGGACTAAATTAATTTTCATTATGTTTTCTAATAGGGGGCAGTGTTCAGAAGTACACTTACAGACAAGAACCCAACACGAAGTGCACTGGAAGAAGGCCTGCTCTGAATTACCCCGTGTATAACACACAGGTTAGACAGGTTAGGAGACTTCGCATTGAACGGGATCTCGGATCTCACACACACACCGTCAGAATTCACTATTCGCCGCCCATCAGAGTCCTTTATCAAGACAAAGGTAATGTTTTTTTCTTTTTACTGTGTTAAAAATTCTTACACATGAAGTAGATGTAAGGCTTATTAAATATGAATATTGACCAAACCACCCTAATATTTTAAGCTTATTGGTGCAAAACATCAATGTACCTCAGTGAATGCTCAAAGGTCAAACCTTTTCCTTTGTGGGTAAGGAATGCAGTTTGAATGTTACTTGATAAATGGTACCAATTATCTCTTACCAAGAACATTATATACAAATCTGTAACTCTGGAAATAGTGATAAAAGGTAGTCATTTGCACCATTTATGAGAGGGTAAAAACTAGGCACTGCAGTTAAATACCGTATTTTTCTGACCATAAGACGCACTTCCCCCCCCCCCCCAGAAGTGGGGGGAAAAAGTCCCTGCGTCTTATGGTCCAAATATAGCCTACACATATACTTAAAAAAAAAAGTTTTTTTACTTGCCCGGCTCTGTGTGGTCTGTGTGCTTGCCCGGCTCTAAAATGGTTCTAAATGCTGCTGTTTACTTTACAGGGTTGATTACATGTGTTTATGACTGTGATGTTGGGTTTTAATGCACATAAAATATTTTAGGACACTATTTGTTTCAGAATCTTTTTTTCTTCATTTCCCTTCTCTAAAAACTGGTGCGTCTTATGGTCCGAAAAATACGGTAATATCCAAGGTAACGGAGATGCTAAACGACCAGATTGGAGTTAATACTCTATGTCTGACTCTTTCCAATATCATCTATAGGTTTCCTCCACAATGAAGCCAGAATAAGTACTCTGTGGAAAGGACTTCCCAATGTGGTTACCTCAGCTATATCCCTGCCCAACATCAGAAAACCTGACGGCTACGATTACTATGCTTTCTCTAGGGGTAAGTAAAATCTCAATAGCTTCTCAAAGATGTGATCTAATCTCTGAAATACAAACATAAACACCAAGTGTTCAATGGAGGCTGAAGGTGAGAAATTAAATTGCCCTAAAGAGAAAGTTTAAATTTTTGCTTTTCTTTCACAATAAATGACTGCAACTGAAAGCTGCCCTCTCCTTCATGAGATGAGTTTACTTATGTAAATTGCTCCTGAAAACAGTAGTTGGCATTTAGTGGAGGCCCCATTTGCCATAAAGTCACACTGATTTGCATCATTACCATCCGTAAAAATCAGAAATAAGTTCCTGAGAAACAAATTTTTATTAAATTATATGATCTGAAACACTTTTCTTTTGAAAAAACCAGAAATGTGTTGTTCGATTTTTACTTGGAGAGTTACCTAATTTTATTAAAAGGTCAATCTGTCAAGGCAGAAGTTTTTGTTAGGTTATGTTGTTATACTCAAATATTTCTATATTCCTATATTCAAGTGCCGTAATTAACAAAATGCTCTCTTCTATTTAGGTCAAGCCTATAACTTGAATGTGCCCAGCAGGACAGCAAGAGCCGTTACTCCTCCTCCTGGGCAGACCTTATCCAAAGTCTGGTACAACTGTCCTTAGACTGGTGGGCAAAGGAACAGACAAGTCAAACAATGATAAGTCTGACACAAATACCTTTTATTAATAAAGAATGTTGAGATAAGCATACCAATTTAAATACAAAATGTCTTTAAACTCGACAATCATAACACTAAAACAGACTGAACAATCTTATTCACAGTTATTACAATTTATAGAACATTTAATTAATATTTCCTCTATTTATTCCTCCTCTCCCTCCCATTGCATGGCTCACACCTATAAAAGAGAAAAAAAAATCAAACTGAATGAATCTTTTAAGAAGCTAGCCCCAAACTAGAGTATCCACATACTCTGTAGTTTTTTAAAACAATTTAAAATGAACCAATTAGATTAATATTAATATTTTTATGGCAAGAAAACATGAGCTTTTAAAATTTTACACTCTCGTACAATAGAATAAAGCTCTATGACTTTGTTTAGCTAGTATAATAATAATAGGCAGAGATGTACCAAACAACTACATAGCACTTCTCTAAATCTTTGAATTCAAGGAAAAAATAGAAGCACATATTCATTACACACCTAAGGGTATACACATCTGTCTATAAAATGTTTATATTTTATATATTACTGAACATCACATACCTAATGCATAATCCTTGGAACATTTTTAAAAAAATGATAACTAGTTGGAGGCTTAAATGAGAAAAATTCTTCTGTTTATCATCCTATCCTATCATGTAGTCAGGATGTTAGAAATTTACCTCTCTGTCTGTTAAACTGACGACCACGGACACCTTGTCTCAATGTTGTCTGAAGTCTTACTCGTCTGAAAGGCTTTGGCTGACTACTGCTAGTATCTAAGAAGAAAAACATAAAATATTTAAAAGTTTAAAACTTTTTTTTTTTTAAAGGATAAGAAAATTCTTTTTTAAAGGATAAGAAAATTCCTGTATTTATATCCCAAATACGACCTCTTCCCATAACCTGAACTCTCTAATCCTGTCTAAAACATCTTTACCTGGAATGTCCTCCAAATTTTCTCCTTGTTTCTGTTCATTACTTTTTCAGTCTCTTCTCTACACAGCAGCCAAACTGACATGGTCAAGTCAGATCATGTCACTGCAATTGAAACCCTCACCGCAATTGAAACCCTCACCAAACTTTATCTATGAAAGCCAATGCAATTACAATGACCTACTAGATGTATCCTGTCACCTGCTCATCTGTCCGTCCTTACTGTAGTCTAGCCGCTCAGGCCTCCTTGCTGACTTTGAACACATACTCCTGCCTTGTGGACTTTGCACTTGCTGTTTCTCTCATCCTAGAATGCTCTTCCCCCAAATGACCGCACAGTGTTTACTTAAATGTCGTCACTCTCTTAATAGTGCTTTCTGTGAAATTGCCTGACAACACATGGTAGACACTCAAATATTTAACCAAATGAATAACTGCTCAAGTGCTTAAGTTTAGTGTGTTATATTTTCAAATAAAAAATTCTAATTTCCTATTATACTGAAAAGGGGACAAGAACCATATAAGCTCTAGCATGATATAACTAGTTCCAATTCTGTTGAGAAAAAACAATTTTCATGGGATGTTAGAATATAACGAGGGGCTCCAAATTTCACTAATTAGAAATGTCTACAACTATCATTAATACAATCTCAGCTGCAAGATTAAATCACTGGACATTCATAAGTAAAGTTAGCAGCTGCTAAAAGGTGGATGTGAGATTGGAAACTAGGGATGCTGGCTATAGGCTGATGTGCCAGAGAAGCAGCTGAGAGGGAGAAGAGACCCTGAGATGGCACTGTTCCATGACTAAGAACGTGGTAACTGTGCATGTTTTCCATAAAGCTTGGCAGTTGGAGAGTGGCTGCTATAACAATTCAAAATGAAAATAGTCGGAGTGAATGACTGAGTACTGTATATATTTTTTTAAAATAAAAGTAATTCCCTACCTAAAATTTTTGAGATAGGAAAGTTAGTATAGTATGTTTTAGTATGTTTAAGATTGGGGTCTCTGCACTTGCTCAGGCTTGCCTATTCTTTACTAGTTATGTGACTTTGGAGAAGTTATTAAACCTTTCAGTGCATCAGTTTCCATAACTATAAATTGGGGGTGAATGCTTACCACATTGGAATGATGTGAGAATTAAATGAGTAAATATATAAAGGGCTTTGCCTCCTGTCTGATACACAGTAAGTGCTCAACAACTCTATCAGATCGCTGTGGAACACTAATATGTAGAACAAACAAAAATGGAACTGCTCTGGTTTAGGCAAGAGAGGCCTATAGTACTACTCCTTAGTAACCACCCCTCCTCCACAGCCCTTTTAGCACCACTAATACAACCGATTTTCTTTAATATAAACCAAGTTCCTTGTAAGAAAATAAAATTCCCTTTTAAATAAAGCATTTTACAATTAAGGGGGAAAAAAGATAAAATTGTTACCAATAAAAGTGTCTGGCAAACAAGTGTGATGTGTAAAGCTACATGTAGTCAACAGCTGGGACTTACCTACAGAAGAGCTGGAAGGAGGGTCCTGGCTGGTGGAAGGAAGATCCGACTCATCAGATGCCTGCACAGGTTCTTCTTCCTGCTGGCTATCAATTTCTAGGCCTGCTTCTGAACTAATACTAAGAAAGGTAAAAATTGATTAGAAAATATAAAACTGATTCTAGAGTGTATCCTATTGTTTCCAAACTCTTTTCCATATAATTTATCACTTAATGCAGAGTTCTACTCTAAATCAAAACTGCCAACTCTGATATTGGTAGCCATATATATTTTTAAAGGGGTACGAGACACATTAAAAATTTAGTTTTTCTCTCTCTTTTTTATAATCTTTTTCTTTTTGATAAGGGGTGTTTGCATTCTTAACATTTGCAGGAGATATGTTATCCAGATTTTGATAAACCTCAAAACAACTTTCTAGGAGAGTATAGTAATAAAAATTCACAAGTCACAACTATAGTAATAAAATAATTCACAAGTCACAACTATTAATAACAGACCTCTAACTCAAAAGGGGCTCTGGCGCAGATGAGACAGGCTATGGGTAGAATCCCTGGCTCAATGGCCATTTCTCTCTCCCATTCAGGAAAGCAATCAAAAAGCAAGTGAGATAAGTGTACAAAACAACTTCAATTTTAGTAGTAACAATGTACCTGAAGTTCTCTCTCATGACTATGTGCCTACGCTGAACAGTGTTGGTCAGGTGTGAAGCTAAATAAAACACATGGGGCTGGAGTCAGCCACCAGAGGTATACGCTCTGACTCAGAGCTTTCTCACTTGTAAAATGATGACACTTTGCAAAGGTACTGTATGGGTTAGAATGACTTCTATGAAGTGACCTGCATACATGGCAGGAAATCTGGGTTCTACTTCTAGCTCTGCTTATGACTCCTGAAGTAGCCTGACTGGCTGGTGTGGCTCAGGGGCTGAGCATCGACCTATGAACCAAGCGGTCAGGTTTCAATTCTCAACTCCCAGTGAGGTGTGAGCAAGAGACAGCCAATCATTGACACTCTCTCATCATTGATGTTTCTCTTCCCTTCCTCTCTGAAATCAATAAAAATATATTTAAAAATAAACTTCTCAAAGACTACTTTGTTTATAACACTTGTATTACCAATAGTCAGGTCTTGAAAACTACTAGATAATTTCTAATTTATAAGAAGTTCTAAATGCACATTAAGGATAAGTGAGGCTCATTTGAAAGCCCACTACTAAATGGAAAGTTAAATCATTTCCTAATATTCCTCACTTTCACAGACTGACTTCTCTTTTTTTTTGAAAAAGTTCAAGCAGCTACATTAATGGGAGTGTACCAGTGATTTTAAAGAAATACTTTGCATAATATATTTATTCTAGAACAATGTTTAGGGAGCTAACATTTGTCTTCTGTAATAACAACCTCCAAGTCCCAAAATATTAAATGTAAAAATTAATCTTTCAAAATAGATGGCTTGGTTTACTTTTGCAACTGAAAATATAGCTCAACAGATTGTTTCTTGGCTAAAGGAAAACAAATGCAAAAGTCTGGCAAATCTAAAGCAAGCAAATATTACAAAGTAAACATTTACCCTTCAGATTCTGCCTCCACAAACACTTCATCGCCATCATCACCTGCTGCTGTTTCATTGGTTGTGGATAAAGTGCCAGTCGATGTTGTCACCATTGGAACAGACTGAGAGGCATGCTCTGAAGCATCAGAGGTGGTACTACTCTCAGTAAATACGCTCACTTCAAAACAAGACCAGAAAAGCAACGAACACTTTAACTTTGTGGTTTATCTAATTTTCAGCCAAAAGATGCCTCACAAGTTTCCATTTTACCAATGAAACACACACTCCAGTAACAGGATCCTACCTGGAGCTGCTACTTGCAGAGGAGTAGTGGGAACACTTCGGCCACCGGACTCTTCTTCATGAGCTAGGAAGAGGGGTGTTTCATACATTCCTAAACCTAAAGACAATTCTGAATATTAATGAATGAAAAATACAAAAAAAAAGTGACAAATGCGAGGCACCTGAAAGAAAAAAAAGATCAGCAAAGACACAACTTTGTTAAAATCCATAATTAGCCCATCAAGCAAACATGAATCCCTCAACAATGTTAATACAATTTAAATACGTCCTTTCAGCTCCCTAACACTAATATAAGTATCTTAAAAAACAAACAGCTAAAGCTGTTCTTATAGTTTTATACAAGGTAACTTGACTATGTTAGATTCTACTTATCACCAAAACTGCAAGGCATTATTTAGTCCCCTTTTTGCTATCAATACTAAATTTTAAGAAGGTTAATTAACTTTCCCAAAGATACAAAGTGGTGGCATCTTCCAAGTCTAGAAATTGCCACACAAAATTTTGAATTTATATGAAGTTAACTCACAATTTCATATTGTAGAGGCATAGTGTTAAAACTAATATCCTAAACCATCAGGGACAAATTTATACTATATGACTTATATGAGGGCTACAGATTAGTCTTTTGCTTAGGACTTAACTAAAGTAGTATGCATTCCCTATTCACTTATACAATGCTATCTAACAGCTTCCCAGCAATATAGTGGCCTATATGGGTACCAAATGAAGATTAAATGCCATTAAT